ATAAGATCATACCAGACAAGAACAATTCATGAACAACTGAAGTCATGAAAATAGAATGAGCCTTTTGCCAATTTTCACATTCCAAAAAGTGTTCGAGAGCCTTTGGTAAATCCCCATGGTAATTTGAAATACACTGCCTGCATCATATGAGGACAATTTTCTCACTTGGCAAACAACACTTGAGTTCCAAAGAACCTTTGAAAGCTCTCTTTCATATCATATATCAACAAACAGACAAAGATACAAATATGAGCATAGAGCAGGACAAATCCAAATTGCTAGTTATTTGAAAGGAGTTAATCAAATAAAGAGATGATATTTAAAGATTCCACCCAAACTTTCACTGCTCTAAATAACCTCTCTCTCTCTCTCTCTCTCTTCCATCATGCATACACAAATGGACACATACAGATACAAGCATACAGCAGGACAATCAAGATGTCTAGAAAGTTTAGAAGGAGTTCATCTACAAAAGGGAAAAAGAAAGTAAGATGAAAAGAAAAGAAAAGAAAGAACGAGATTCAAAGATCCCACCCAACCAGGATGCTGACAATCTGCCACTATGCAAAGAATTTAAATTAATGATGGATCTAAATTCTAACCCAAATAGAGCACCTAATCAACCATCAAAGCTCCAAATGTTAGCATATAATACCACTCAGGTTAGACCAACAAGAAGTAAAACATAAAGGCTTCACATGCACGGAATCAGACCAAATCATCTAGAAAACCAACAACATACCATAGCTTCATGCTACTACTGCAATGGAATACCCAAGTCCTCAATAAATTGGCGCTGTGATTCGTGTGAACTCCATGATTCACAATATTGGAACAAAATTTCCCTGATAAGAATAGCTTGAAGGCAAGGATAATCATCACGGTAGGGCATGTGAAGGGCTACATAGATAGCCCAATGACACTGCTCCTGACACAGTAACTGAGATATAAGTCCCATGTCAAGATCTTGAAGATCATTAGAATTTAAAGCATCAACAGCTTCCAATATAGCCTACTGATGCCATATCATATGGTAGTCAAGTGGATCATGTGTGGAAGAGAAAGTGGTAAACATTGTTTTCAGAGAGCATAGTTGACTCTCTTCACTGGCATGCAGAAGCATAAGATGGTATGAAAGATCAAATCTTTCCACCCTGCTCAAATTTGCATTCTCTTCAATTGGTCCTTCATCAATATAAATTGGAACAGGAAATGGAGCTTTTCCATCATCAAGAAGGTGCTGATAAGTTTGAAACACAAATGGCAATGCAGTATCTGAAGGTAGGTGATACCACATTAACAATCCTAAGAATCTCTTCCAGTCAATGTCAATACCACGCAAAGCACCATGAATATTACCAGCAAGCAACTCATAAAGTCGAATCCTTTCCTTCTCAATGAAATTGAAGTCCAGACTCCAGACCATTACGTTTCCAAACATCAAGCTGTCTTCCAACATCAGAACGATTAAAAGTTGATCCACCAGCCTGGCTCAGTAAACAAGCCAATCTAACATCTCCTTTAGAAGTTGCCAGCTCCACAGCTGCATCAAGTTGTCGCCCAGTCAAGAGAAAGAATAAGTGTTCCAAGTAACCTGAATTATTCACAGAGCTTACTTCTTGAACACGATGATATACGCTTTCTTGCAGCCAACAACTAAATTGGGCCCTCCTAATAAGAGGAAGTGCTTCCGATTCAACTTCTGGAGGACCTTCCTTGATATCCTGCATCATATCTTCCTCGTCAGCAGCCATAGATTCAGTTGACCATTATTTTCCCTTTCTGAAAAAAGAACTTTTATCAATTCCCAGACCATCACTTGATGCATCAAAACCAAGCGAGCCGAAGAAGATAAACCAAGAACATCCAACTGCCTCTCAATAATGTCCATATAGCTCCTACAAATGTCAGAAAGCTCTAAGCCTTAAGACCGGAACACTAAATCTCAACAAGCTTACCGTAGACAAGTCCTTAATCGAGGTTGGTCCTAGAACTGAAGTCGAAATTAGTTATGGATTGATAACGCATTTAACCTCATCACAGGGGACATCTTGTGAGATTTCAGGTGTTTGCACGCGATGTCGAAAAGGACATGGTTATTCTACTCACGGCAAGGGCTTCCAGGGTTGAGATTAAGATGTATCGATACCTGTATTGTTGGAATGCTAGGTGATCCCAAAGAGGTTAGTTAAGAATGACAAAAAATAATCCCTTTCATTATGCTTGCACTCTTCAATCTTTAATGTTGCAAGGGGATCGCTTTCGATTGGTTTGCAAGCTAGAGCAAGCGTTACCGAGGTCCATTTCTTTCCCTTTAACCCGATAGACAAGCGTACAGCCATGACATATATTGAGACTGATGGCAGTTGGCATCAAGTCAGCAAAGGTTCTCCAGAGTAGGTAAATGGATTGACTTGCATTGTACCAATGTTTTCTTATCATCTCCGGGATTTAAATAACGGGCACGACCGTAACTTCTCGGTGTTAACACATGATATCTTGACTAGATTATTGACCTATGCAATCTCCGAGATGGTGCGAGGAAGAGAGCTCATGAAATCATCACTAACTTTGCTGATCGAGGGCTTCGATCTCTTGCTGTGGCTAGACAAGTAACATTCTATGTTTCTTTCTCCCGAACGTGATTCTAATAAACGAAAAGTTATTATAAAATGAATATTTTGATATTGTAGACTGAGAAAGCGAAAAACAAAGATGCCCCGGGAGAACCGTGGGAATTTGTGGGTATATTGCCACTGTTTGATCCTCCGAGGCACAATAGTGCAGAGACAATTCGTGGGCTCTAAATTTTGGTGTCAATGTCAAGATGATCACGGGTGATCAACTAGCCATTGGAAAAGAAACCGGTCACATGCTCGGCATGGGAACCAACATGTATCCATCATCTGCTCTCCTTGGTCAAAATAAGGGTGACACAATCTATACAATCGGTGCTGATGACCTTATTGAGAAGGCCGATGGCTTTGCTGGAGTTTTCCCTGGTAAGCTCATTAGCAATACTATTTTGGTATGGTTTGATGCTCTTTGAAAAACTGTCGCTCGTTTCCTAATTCAGAGCACAAATATGAGTTTGGTAAGAGGCTACAAGCAAGGAAGCATATTTGTGGCATGACCGGAGATGGAGTGAATGATGCACCGGCGCTTAAGAAGGCAGACATTGGAATTGAAGTGGACGATGCAACCGATGCTGCTCGAAGTGCGTCAGATATTAACAGAACCGGGACTGAGTGTCATTGTGAGTGCTGTTCTAACAAGTAGGGCCATTTTCAGAGAATGAAAAACTATACCATCTATGCCGTCTCCATTATGATCCGAATCGTGTTGGGTTTCATGCTGTTTGCACTTATTTGGAAGTTCAATTTCTCTCCTTTCATGGTTTTGATCATCGCCATACTCAATGATGGAACCATTATGACCATTTCCAAGGACAGAGTCAAGCCATCTCTCATGCCTGACTCATGGAAGCTCAAGGAGATTTTTGCCACCGGCATCGTCCTTGGTATCTATCTTGCTGTCATGACTGTTATTTTCTTCTGGGCTACCAATGACTCCAACTTCTTTTCGGTAAGAGAAAAATTAAACGCTCTTCCTGTTCTTCTCAAAACCATAACAAAAAACTTCTAAAGTTTGATACTAATTGCAGGATAAGTTTGGGTAAGATCCATTAGGGACAATCAAGATGAACTTACTGCTGATGTCTACCTTCAAGTCAGTACAGTGAGTCAGGCACTCATTTTCGTCACCCGTTCTCGGAGTTGGTCTTTCATCGAACGTCCCGGCCTTCTGCTTGTGTTTGCCTTCATTGTGGCACAACTCGTAAGTTTGATATGAAAATTTCACTTCAGTTGGCTAGAATACAATGTTTTATTCTCGAGTTGTTATAAAGTTTTCAGTTTTGGATTCAACATTTTAGATAGCAACACTACTTGCTGTTTATGCAAATTGAGGCTTTGCCAGAATCAAAGGCATTGGCTGGGGTTGGGCTGGAGTTATCTGGCTCTACAGTCTAGTCTTCTACTTCCCACTCGATGTACTCAAGTTCGGAATTCGCTATTATTTGAGTGGAAGGCCTGGAATAATTTGCTTCAAAACAAGGTATCTAATCACTTCTTTCGTTATTCGCTTGTTATGCAAGTACTTGCGATAAACGCGATACGACCAAATGTCATTTTGATGTTTGAGTGTTGTTTGTACATTCAATTCATAGACTGCCTTTTCAACAAAGAAGGATTATGGAAAAGGAGAGAGGGGAGCGCAATGGGCATTAGCTCAACGCACCCTTCATGGATTGACACGACCCAAAATCACAAACGAGGAGAGCGCCAATAAGGAGCTATCAGAGATTGCCGAACAAACCAGGAAGCGTGCCGAAGTCACAAGGTGATATACATAAAATCCTTTCGACTTTCTAAGCCAGTTCCATTCCGACTCTAATCTAAAACTTGTGTGTGTTTACCAGGTTGAGGGAACTTCATAATCTCAAAGGACATGTCTAATCAGTGGTTAAGCTCAAAGGACTGGATATCAACACCATCCAACAGCACTACACCGTTTGAGGAGGGAAAGAGGTGGAACTGGAAGTTCTTGTAATGCCATGAGACGAGGGATAAATTTTAGGCTTTTTTCCGAAATCAGCAGCTTTTTTATTATGATAATTTTTTGTAGGTTTTAGGCATGTTATTGGAATAATTGTTTGAATAATCCAACATAGGAAATTGTCTTATTGCTAACTCAGACAATCATTGACAACATTTTTGTTACGTGCAATTCGGTTTTCTCCTCAAAATCCATCGCATAACAGACTGTATTCAATTCATCAGTCGACTAATCTAGATTAAATACTACAGAGACTTATATAGGTTCAAATTCTCAAGATATTGATTTTATATAGTCGTGCGTTCATTCAATGATTTGTAATCCGACAGCAAGCAACTGATTGCTGCATTGTCTTTTGTCGGAAGGTGTGACTTTCCGCAATTGATAGAGCAACAAAGAAATGAACTGCATTTAAGAGAGAAGACAGAGTATCTGTCCTATAGGCTTGTACATCTGTATTCCTGAGTTCTAAGGAGTCTTGTGGACGAACCATGACTGTGTGATTACTTGAATATGTTACATTTTCAATTGGGAAGTAACTGTTCCTAATACCGTTCCAATGGTAAATCATGCCTCTACTAACTGATTCTTTTCGATATAGGATGAATCACAAATTGCTTTGTTCTGAATTTCTACATTAAAAGAATTGTACCTCTTAGTTGGCCAGCCTCAATATCAGAAGCAGATTCATTCCATATCCGGTGTAACTGTTCAGAACTCACTTCGCCATCAATAGTTTAGTATCACCAGTAGCCTCTGCAGGAGCAAGATCCATTCTTGAAATGGTGGAAGCGACTTGAATCCCTTAATATGATTTCATTATCAATGATCATGGATATGTAAGTAATGGCATTATGGCAATCACTACAGACACGCAAGTTCTTGGTGATATGGATGGGCGCTCCAGGAATAGAGATTAAAATGCCATAAGCCAGAGCTAACTTCTCACTATGTTCAGAAAGAAGATCACCTTTCTCTTTGTCATCCACGTCATGAAGAGCGCAGTTTGTATCAGGAACATACCCAATTGCCTTAATTCGTTGGATTAAGTCAGCAAGAAGCTCATATATTTGTTCAAAATGAGGATGAGACCTGTCACCTGCATAGAAGGTAGCAGTGCCTTTCTTTCCTTCGACCCAGCTGCAACCTGGTCTCCTTTTAACCCCTGAATATTTCATCAAAGATCGGACCCTGGCCACATCTCTCCAACGCCTAGCATTAGCATACATGTTTGAAAGCAATGTATACGACGCATCATTCTCTGAACCCAATTCCCGGAGCTTGGCTGCAGCATATTCCCCAAGTTCCACATTTCCATGGATCCTACAACCACTAAGTAACACAATCCAAACAATTGCGGTCGGCTCCATGGGCATGCTGTGAATAAGCTTCAGAGCTTGATCAAACCTACCAGCACGGCCTAAGAGATCAACCGCGCAAGCATAATGTTCCAATCCAGGGATGACATCGTACTCAGTATGCATGCTCTCAAAGAATCTGATTCCCTGGTCAACCATTCCTGAATGGCTGCAAACATAGAGTAAAACAAGAAAGGTAATACCATCAAGAACAAAACCTGCTGCTCTCATATCACCCAAAACCTTGATAGCTTCGTCCCCATAACCATGCATACCATAACCAGTTAGTAAAGACGTCCAAGAAACTGAATTTTTGTGCTGCATATTGTCAAACACAACTCGAGCAGCATGTATATTACCAGATTTGGAATACATATCTATGAGACAATTTTCCATAAACAACATTTCAGATTCGTATTGATTGCGTAACATGTATGCATGGATTTGTTTACCAAACCTTAGCGCGGCCAAATGAGCACAAGCCATCAAGGCACAACATATGGTAGAAGTATTTGGCTTCTTAGAATTACCATCTTGGAACATTTCTGAGAAAAGCTTCAGTGCATCATTTGCTTCTCCATGCTGCGCGTATCCACCAATCATGACAGTCCAAGTCACAACATTTCTATTACTTGGTGCAACTGAATCAAACATGAAACGAGCTACATTTGTACTTTCGCACTTAGCATACATGTCAATTAGACCATTAATCACCTTGAGGTCTTCTCCTGGATCATTCCAATCATAGTTCAAAACACTTTTGATGACAAAACCGTGAATTTCCTTCCCCTGAATTAATGCTGCAATAGAAGCACAGCCGGAAAGCACGGACACGAGCGTGACAACATTAGGTTTGGAACCACAAACTTGCATTTGCCTGAATACACTCAACGCTTCATAACCACGATCCTGTTGAGCAAAGCTAGCAATCACAGAACTCCAGGTCACAACATCTAACTCAATGTTCTCCTCTTTCATCTTCTCAAACAAACCCAAAGCCTCCTCAAATCTACCAACCTGAGAATACCCAGTAACCATCGCATTCCAAGAAACAACATCCTTCACCTCCATCCTTTCGAAAACCTTATTTGCCTGCTCAATCATCCCACATTTTGCATACATATCCATCAAAGCATTACCAACAAAAACATCCTCGAATAAGCCTCTCCTCACCGCAAATCCATGCAGTTGCATACCATGCAAAGATGCGCCCAGAGATCCACAAGCAGGTAGCACATTGACAAGGCTAAAACCATCCGGGCGGATTTCCAAATCAGACGTCATTCTTCGAAACAACTCCACTGCATTCTTCGCATCCCCGCTTTGCATATAAGCAGCCACAATAGAATTCCATGAGACAATATCACATACCCCTCTCTCACGCATTTCCTCGAACATCTTTCGCGCGTCATCCAACTCACCGCAACGAGCGTACATTGCCACCATCGCGTTACAAATAAAGACATTCGAGTCCAACCCAATGGTGGAGATAACCCCATGAACAGATGCTCCACTTCGGAAGGAGGTAAGCTCACCGCAAGCCTTGAGGACAGAAGGGAATATATAGTGGTCAGGAGCACGGCGGAGCCTTAGCATTCTGCGGAAGAGAGAAAGAACGTCACGGGAAAACCCAAGTCGAAGGGAGCGTCGAATAAGAGCGTTCCAGCAGATGACAGCAGAGGAAGAAGGGGTCAAGCGTTCGAGAATGGAGATGGAATAAGAAGGGGCGTCGAGAGCGAGGTAAGCCCAAACGAGGCGGGTAGAGAAATCTCGGTAGAGGCCATGGACGAGGAGTTGTTGATGGATGAGTTTGGCTTGGAAAAGAGAGTTGCATTTTTGGAGAGTGGTGACAATGGTGGTGACTGAGACGGCTGAAGAGAATAGGGAAATGGTTGAGCCACCGGTACAGGGTTTGAGTTGAGAAATAAACTTGGATTTGGCGTTGGGACGGTAAAAGGAGCGGAGCATGCTCAGCTCCACCCAATGTGATGAAAATCCGAAGGGGCGGGTTGATGATAGATGTACACAAGAAGCATAGGAGACGAAGATGGGAATTGAGGTCTAGGAGAACGATAAGACAGTCGAAGTTGTTGCTAAAAGAATACTATTTCCGCATCTCTGTTGGATTTCATATGTATACATGTACCAAAACCTTGAATTTGCTGCGTGATTTCAGATAAGTTTGAGCTCTTATGCCAAATTTGGTATTTAGTCTCCAAACTTGGTGACAATATCATATTACAAGATGTATGTTTTTACTTATGTGACAAATCATTCGAATGATTTCTCTCATGTTGATATTATTCAAAGTCAAGTTAAAAATTATACGAATTCCATTAAAAATAATGCACACACATGTATAGGTTTTGTCTTCAACCACTTAATAAATGTGTATAGAATATTATATTTAAACACTTTAAAAATAATATGATAAAAAATTATTAATTTTAAACTATAAAAGATAGATTTTAGACTTGATTAGACTCGTATTATTACGACAGTAAAAAAATAATTTTAGTTATTTAGATCTTGAATATTTCAGTAGTAAAAGAGAAAAAAAGATTATGACTCTTACTTGTCTTCTTTTTCTTATTATTTTAAGAACAAAAAATAAGAAAAATAATTTTTCAGTCCTTTTAGATAAAATTTAAAAATGATTATTAAAAATAAAATATTTTTAAAAATCGGATGATCGTATTTTTTAATTAATCATTTCATAAATGAGATAAATTAAGTGTTTGAAAACGTAAAGTTATTAGAAAGAACAAGGTAAGAAGTAGATGATTGTTTCTTGTATTCATGAAAAATGAAAGTTTTTAAGTTTTTAAGTTTTAGGGATCAATTTATGAGTTTTCAAAGTTTTAGGTTAATTTTTGGATTTTCCTAAAAGTTTAGGGTCTCTTTCTCAGATTTATCCATTGTTGTTCAGCAAAAAAAAAATGGTGATGAGATTTGAACCCATATAATCCAAAACCTTCTCTTTCACTTTAACCATTAAGCCATGCTCCTGGAACTAACTAAATTGAAGTAATAATTTATTTTTAAACTAATTTATAGGTCTTAAAACTCAATTTCTTCTTTTTAAAAGGGGTATCTGGAAACTTTACCCGTATGAAACCCAAATTATATCCCTCTTTCCCCTTAACCTCATACCTCCGTTCGTCGATCTTCAGTAGGCGATGGCTTGCACCGCCACCACCACGACGCTTCCTGTGGTTACTTGATCAAGCTCTGACCCTCAGAGTATCCAGAATGGTCATCAAATGTCACAAATCAGTGAAAGAAGTTGCGAGAAATCTATCTTCATCCTCGTCCGTCGATCACCGGTGTGTGTCATTGTCACCACCTTCGAAAGCGCCTCCCTTGTCCAATCAAACCCCAGCTAACCCCATTTCGTAAAGCATTACCATTCACCATAGATCGACGTTTGAAACTCCGTCAGGAAATAAATAGGTCACGCGTTGTTTCGGTGTTTCCCGGTCGATCCTATCACCGGTTGACCACACTGCCTATGCTGCCATGCTCTTTGTCCATTTTCGAGCAAAACCCAACTAGTATCGTTCCATCTCCTCGTCGTTTTCGTCGTCCGCTATGAAAGGTAAGCTTTCCATTATTTTCTGGTCATTTCAGCTTGTTTCACCTTAATATATGATTTGTTATTGGTTGTTTTTGGCATGTGAATGAACGAGGAGTAATCGGCCGTCATCCCCGTCTCTATCGTTCGCTGCACGTGCCGTCACGTGCCATCAGTGCGTGTGGGCTTCGTTCCAGTCGAGTCTTCTAAAAACTGAGTCAACTCGAATTGAGTTGACCGAGTCAACTCAAATGAGTTGACCGAGTCAACTCAAATGAGTCAGTCGAGTCAGTTGAGTCAACTATGACTGAGTCAACTCATTGACTGTTGACCTTTGACCTGAATCGTTGACCAGGCCGTTAACTTTAGCTTTGACCCCGTTGACTTTAACTTTTACCAAAAAGTTATTTTTTTAAAAAAAATCATACTTTATGTTGTTTTTCAACATCATGAGTCTGAATCCGAAATCCGTTTTTCCAAATTCGAACCGAATAAGATGTTTTTCAGTGTTTTAACTTCCGATTCGAATAGTTTTCCTGTTTTACTTTTATTTCTGACGTAAATTGTTTTGCCATGTGATCGAGATTTTATAGGACAGTGAAATCAAGTGTGAGGGCATTCGAATGGAGTTTAATTGGTTGATCGATGTGGAACAAATATCGAGGTAATACTCTATTACATTTTGTATGCTTTTCGGACCTCATTGATAATTAGTAAATGCATGAATGAAAATGATTGGTCAATTAAGTGTATTTAATTATTGTTGGACTCGAACTGAATACGAAGCAAAGGCAGAACATTGTATAAGACTCGGATAACTCGTATAAAAAATTGAAAGACCGATAAGAAATAAATCCAAGCTCAGTGAATCATCAATATAATAATTAACCACGAGAACATAAAATTTTGATTAAATTATTTAAAGGTTAAATGTCGGGAATACTTGGATAAGTAATTAAAAAAATAACCCTATGGAGTAAAATTATGAAAATGCTCTTGCACTGCAAAAAGACCAAGATTGCGCCTGACAGTGAAAAAATAACTTAAAACACATACTTAACCAAATTACCAGAAATGTTTGGATTGAATTGAATTACCAAAATATTCTCAGACTGCGAAATAACTAGGATAACCTCCAGTATTCAAATGACTAAAATACCTTAAACCCTAAAAGGGCCAAAATACCATTGTAACACCCCCAACCCGTACCTGACCCGGATACGAGTCCGAGGTGTCACATTGACTTTTCAAACTTTGACTCTTGACAAAATTCAAAGAAAATTTAAAACTTTCATTAAAGTAAAAGCAATTTAGTTACATAATTTGACCACAATAACCAAAATCGATCAGAGCATATTTAACTCAATCAATCAGTACATGCCAACTATATTCAAAATAACAAAAATCATTTAACTCATCTATTTTCTGATCTGAAATCTTGTAAGGGAGATGATGACCTGTATTGCTCCTCACAGCTTCTATATTCACTTTCTGTAACCTGCGTGTGAAACACTCACACGCTAAGTCGATGACTTATTGAGGCATAAAGAAAACACATCTAATGGAATTCATAGCCACTAATCATGCATGATTGTTTTATGCTATCAAATTATACAACTCATTTACATATACATCAACATATATTCATGTATATTATGTAACATATACCATAACCCCTATCACACATATATCATATCATGCAATTCATATCACACATCATATACATATATCACATACATTGTTCTTATATCACCAACCTGTTTATCCTTACTAATTCCCTTGTCATTACTTCAATTCCGTCATATGAGCATATAATGAATATAAACATATTATATATATTTTAATATGCCACAATACATTACTAATGTCTATAATCATATAATACATAAACGCATAGCATCTCATATCACTATGACATATATGCACTTCTACCATGTCACGAGAAATACACATATAATTATATCAAATTATGTTCTCTTTTCAAAGCCCATGTACACATGTGAGAACTATAGATATGTGATTCTATAGAGGTTATGCACTATGCTGTCACCACAGCTCGTATAATTGCACCGAAGTGCCACGTAGAATTGCACCGGAGTGCCGCGTAGAATTACACTGTAGTGCCATATAATAATGTCCATAAGGACCACATATCATTCCTTAAGAATCATATACATATACTAGGGATCAAGTATGTGTCTCACCAGACTTCACACATGTTCCAAAGAATACATATATGTCCCAAAGGACCGCGTAGACCCTCGACTCTTGGCATGCCAACTATACCCCTAGCTCTCATGACACATAACATGGGCATTAATATTTATGTTAACATACATTCACATATACACATAGTCATGTAGTTCTTTCACATAGCTCATCATCATATAAATCACATATCCCATATACATATAAACACATGGTTCACTTACGCGTATAACATTTTCATATAATCGCATAGTCATATAATATTTCATATAACATATATTTTCTCTTTCATATATCTCATATCATGTATCATATCTTGTGATCATATAATCATGTTACTTATAATCATATAACTTCTACTTATAGGGTTCAACATCATTAAACTTAGTTCACTTTTTCATATTATCATACATTTATATACTCTTATATGTTCTATCAATAACCTATAGACTTACTCATATTCTCATATATACTATTTTAATATAATTTGTATAGTAATATTCTATAATTGTATCATATAATGATTTTACCCAAGTACTCCTTTATAAAGTTTATATTACATGTTCAATTAGTATCATTACAACAACAACAACAACAAAACCCAATTCCCATATGCAATGGGGTAAGGGGGAGGTAGGGTAGTAGGCTGCCCCCAACGCCAGGTTGAGAGTAGCTTCCGTGGAAGACCTCCGGCGGTCAGAAAATTAAAAATATAGATAAGATGCAATGCATGTATAAATAAATACATAAATACGTAGTTGTACAGTATTCATCTGCAGTCATTAATATCATTAATGTCATATGCGTGTCTGTAATGGGCAGTAATCTTTGTATATGGACAGAAACGTAAGACCCGACTAAATTCAAAAGTTCAAAAGTGGAGAGAATGATACACAGAATTCAAACGATCGCAATGCCAGTTCTCAGCCTTCAAAATACCAATAAGAAACGGATAAAAAGTAGAAGTTATGTAAATTACTACAAAGGCAGTAAAAGAAGACAGAGATGATACACCCTAGAGATGTGACCCACACTACTCGACTATCCTAGTCTTAAGTCTCCATACTTTCCTATCAGAGGTCATGTCCTCGGTAAGGGCTAAATCCATCAAATCAGATCTCAAGCAGTCTTCCCACTTCCGCCTTGGTCGTCCTCTCCTTCTGGCACCGTCGACTGTAATCGACTCTACCCTCCTGACCACATCAGATGGTAGTCGCCTAAGGACATGCCCAAACCACCGTAGTCTTCCTTCCCTCAATTTCTCGGAAACAGGCACCACCCCCAAGGACATCCTAA